GGATAGTTCAGTCCTGGCATGCCAATGAAAAATGTGAAGAAATAGCTGGTTTAGGCTAGGTGGCAATATTACTGGTGATGCCCTTATAAAGACAGAGAAAACAAAACACTTCTTTTCATTCATGAAGTAGAAGTGACTATATAGTCACATTCAAGTGTGACTAAATTAGTTATTTCCTTTTTATTTTGAATACACACACTTTATTTAAAATTCTCATCATGGGTTTTTTTCCTCTCCCTGGTTAAAGAAACCAAAAACTTTCCAGCTCTTTTTTCTGGCGATAAGACTTTCACTTTTATCCACTGTAGATGAATCCTACCGTCCTTCTGATCCTGGCAGCTTCTGGGAAGTGCTGCTGCTGTCCGTGGGCTGTCTAGGGAAGAGATGTATGGGGAGAGATGTGCCGGTGAATACTCAGCCTTTGGTCATACAAGGAGCAGGGCAGTCCATGAACCCCTCTCCTGTAACCGCTGAAAAAAGTAAAAGCGATATCACTCTCTGCATGCACCTCTGGTCCCACGGAGATGGGGCACCTGGGGCTTTATGTCCCTGTGCTCTCTGTCCTGGGGACCTCTGACTTATTCTTTCTTTCTACTGCTTTCCCGTAATCTGAAAGATGTTGCTATGGCTGATCATGATCTCTGTGTAAGGAAAAGCAGTGATCCCGATTTTGGATTTCCCGGTGTTTTCAGTTTTTTATGTATTTACTGCTTTCTGCCTAGGGAGGGGTATTGGCTTAATTTTTCAGTGCAAAATGAAGTGAGATTTCTGGGCACTTGACTGCTAATTTTCTAGATGGCAAGTGCACTGGGCCTGGCTCACTCGAGGACCTACAGGTAAGAGAAGATCCTGGGTGTCAGAGCACACAGACATGGGTTTTGCCAGGTAGTAAACAGACTTCTGTATTATTTGTTCATGTACATCTAGGTGTCAAATCCATTTCTGCTGTGCGTACCATATAAGCAGCAAAAACCATGGTGCTGCACATCCTGTCAAAAAGAAACATATGTAAATGTCACTATTGCAAACTTTTTTGAAAAGTGCCTTTACTTGCAGTAAAATTTTGGCACCATGTTAAATTTGTTTGGGGGCAATAACTGACAGGCAGCAACTGTGTACTGAAAGCTGTTATAGTAAGGGAGGGATGAGGCAGAGACAATTTTATGGTAAATATCCTCAGAAAGAAATGCAGCCTAAACGTTACTCCAGTTTCTCACTATTTCGGACAAACTGAGCTTAGATAGTGATTGTTCCCTCTACGATCTGAAATGTTATTCCAAATAACAGTACCACCTTTGTTTTAAAGTAAGGGAAAACACTGAAGCTTGCTCTTGAACAGAGTTGACATTCATTTTGAAAATTGACATTTAAAAAAAAAATTCAGGGCATTGCTATTTAATGTCAGACTAAAGGTTACTTAAATGTAACTTTTTTAACATACTTATAAATTCAGTCAAACTGGTGGATTTTTCCCAGCTGTGGCTATTAAGGGTTAACAGCGAGTAGACCATATCTTTTGTTTTTTCTGGAGTCCTGCAGTAAAGTCGTTGTGTAACTTAAGACACCGTTAAGTCGTTTTGGATAGGAAAACTTCCTGCGCTCTGAAAATGGGATCTTCTGTAGCCCTAATCAAAGCCAACTGGATTAATGTTGGCCTCTTGCTGTTTGAGCTAACATCTGTGATGCCATCTACACATTCCTCCGGTGCCTCTCTGCAATGTATGGAAAGTTGGTGAGTGTTATTTCACCTTGTCGGTGCCAGGCTGTCAGGACCATGATGATTTTACAGGATCCTGTCTGGGGGAGATGCAAGGCTTTAGCATCTTCCTGTCTTTTGTTTGCCTAGTTGCAAGCTTTTCTTGAGACGTAGTCGCACTGGTGGGTTTGGGGGCTCTTCAGATGACTCTGGAACACAAAACTGAATGTAAAATATCCCTGTGTCACCAAGAACATCTAGATTCTGCATTGTGAGGAGTGTATGTTTGCCTCAGCTTCCTGAGTCAGTCCCTGCGACTTGTGGAGATCTGCATGACCAGCCAGATGCTCCTTTGTGTTGACGATATCGAGGCAGAAGCTTGAGGGGAAGCCAGGTAGCAGCTCCTCTCCCCGGGGAAGCTGTGGCAGCCGACGCTCATTCGCCAGCCTGGTGTGAAGGTCGCCAGGAGGCAAGCTGACCATCCCTCTTTCCATCCTACTGTAATAAGGCAGGGGGACCACCTGCTCCTGATGGCCGCCGATGCACACCAGAACAAAAGAAGCTGGGCATGGCAGACTTGAGGCTGCACATTCACTGGCGTGCTTATGGACAAGTATTCAGACTTTACAAACCCCTAAACTAAAAGATACAAGCCTGTAGGTTTATAGGAAAATGGGGAGAGGGTTTTCTCTTCCTGCAAATAAGGCATTCCTTAAAATGGGAGCAGCGGAAGAAAAAAAGACTTAGCGTTAGAAACTTATTTTCCAGAAGGAGTAATGGGATAGAATAGACCGGTGTTAGGTGCCAATGAGTAGCTGAATACAATGTATAAATGATGTAAAATTGATTCCAAACCAAACCTCACAAATTTTAGGAAAATTTGACTCTGAACTCGGTAGCTCTAGCTTGCAACTGAACCTAACGCAGGTTGAAATTAATGATGGCTGTTTATTGGCACTTCTGCAATTCTGTGAATTAAATGAACCTTTTTGTGTTCGCAGGACAGAAAAGGAGTTAAGCTGAACACTTGCAGGGTAATAATTTATAATTTGAAACACTTCTGCAGTGAAAATTAACTTGATCCAATTTTCCTTTTAGCAAAACATAGTTTAGATTTGAGAAATAAAGGACCGTAGGGTAAGGCAGCAATAATTTAGTTCTCTGATGGACAAAGTTGCTCGGTGAGTCATTGAACCAGATCCAACCAGTGACTAATACGCATTGATTAAAGTAAGTTTCATTATGTCATGGTGAGTTGTGCTGGTGGCTGTGATGGTACACTTCTTCATTGCATTAACCAAAAGTTTGAGGGAATTCCTTGCGGGAAACCTTGAATTATAGGTAAGCTTGCAGCAATAACCAAGAAGACCTCACCCTCCTCCAATTAGATTAGATACTTTGTTTTATTGCCAGGTGAAATTAAGTAGAGTAGCAAAATAACATATTTTACATCTGAGATGAGTAACTTTTTATTTACAGATTTGCTTGTCAAGCTTTAATTCAGAAGACAAGGAAATTCTTAAAACTTTAACAGTGATTCGCCTGTTCCCATCTTCTTTATGCTAAGCTTTTCTCTGGATTGAATTTTTGCATGCAAATAACAAAATTATTAGCCTCTAATTGATTATATTTAAATATGTCTGTCATGGAGTAATATAAGTAAAATTGTTTCTGCTTGCATTTTTAACTTTTCCTGAAAAATTCTCTGTTAGGAGCACTTTGTTTTTGTCACAGTATCAATCATACCCTTGCTGTCATGATCTTGCACCCACTTATTTTCACTAAGCTGTCCACAGTATCCTAGTGTCTGATAGAATTCACTTCTCTATATATTGATCTAGGAGGGATAACAAGGAAAGGGAAGGGATGTAGTTTGTGACCTGCAAAGTGGAGTCTCTGTACCAAAACAGTGTTACCTAAAGAGATTTCTGTTTGCTTACACCTTGCACAACAGGAACATAGAGTGGGATCTGAGAATATCTAAAAGGTCAAAGCATGTCTGT